GAAGCTGAGGCCTTGATGGTGCCGTGTAACCCTCTGGAGGCAGTAGAATGCGCCGTCGCCATTGACGCGATTGCTAAAGGGCAACGTGACGGGGAAGACTACACTGAGGGTGCGATGGATGTCGCGGTTCAATATATCGTCAATCGGGCCTGCGCTGGGAAATTCAAGAAACGCGAGTTGCTCACTGAAATTCGAAGGGCTTGGCCTTATCGAAATATGCTGAAATCAGATTTCGACCTTCTCGTGAATTTTGCGCAAGATGGCGGCTACGCATTGAAATCTTATGATCGCTTTGCCCGCTTGAATGCGACATCGCGCGGCTACCAAATCTCAACCCCGCAACAGGCGCGCCGACATCGGATGAATGTCGGGACAATTGTTGAGTATGCCAAGCTCAAGGTGCGCCGCTTCCCGAATATGAAATCTAAACGAGGGCGCAATATAGGTGATATAGAGGAACGTTTTGTGATGGGCCTTGCGCCGGGGGATACCTTCCTATTCGGCGGTGAGGTCCTACGTTATCACGGCGTCCGGGAGATGGCGCTGGAGGCAAGCCCCGCGCCCAAACATAATCCCCCAAGGGTCCCCGCCTATGCGGGCGGTATGATGCCGCTTTCGACGTTCTTAGCAGATGGGGTGCGAAGCCTGATTTCTGAACAAGATCGCTGGGGGGATCTGCCTGCTCAGATTCAAAATTGGCTGGACCTACAATCCCGTTTCTCTGAACTTCCCAAGAGCAGCGGTGTGCTCGTCGAGAGTTTCTTTGACCGCGGTGTCAACGTGATTGTCGTGCACAGCTTCGAAGGCCGAAAAGTCAATATGGCGCTCGGACTGCTCATGACCCGCCACATGGAACGACAGAGGCTGAAACCTCTGACCTACTCTATCACGGATTACGCGCTTACCATTACATCCATGGAGCGTGTTGAAGATGTTGAAAGCCTGATGTTGGAGAATGTTCTGGCTGAGCAATATGAGAAATGGGTCGTTGAAGCCCCGATGGTTAAGCGGAGTTTCCGCAAAATTGCGACAATCGCAGGACTGACAGAACAGCGTCTTCCCGGCGCAAAACGGACGATGAAGCAAGTGTCCTTCAGCACCGATTTAATCTACGATGTTTTGCTGAAATATGACCCGGACCCCATCCTACTCCGCATCGCGCGGG